CTACTAGGGGTTCCTGGCATCGCTACTAGGAACAAGAAGCTAAGGGGCTCCTGGCATCGCCACTACGAACAAGAAGCTACTAGGGGCTCCTGGCATCGCTACTAGGAACAACAGTATGATGCTTCCATTGTGCCCGGTGTGGAATGGAAAGGCCGGAGATGCTGGGCTTGATGCGGGCGCGCACCTTTCACTGGCATGCGCATCTCACTTGTGCTGTCCTGCCGAAAGGGCTGTGCCAAAATCAGTAATAAGGAGCGCGCCTTGCTCGAAAAGCTGGGCTTCCCTTGAAGGACAGCGCGTGGCTGCAGGGCCAGTAGAACTTCCTCAACCATCACATCTCCACGACCTCCATGCTCCTCTGGCATTCGAGGCCGGCGCGTGGGACCGAAGGCTGATCCTGGCAAGGGCCCCTGGCATCGCTACTAGGAACAGGTTCGAAGCTACTAGGGGCTCCTGGCATCGCTACTAGGAACAAGAAGCTACTAGGGGCTCCTGGCATTGCTACTAGGAACAAGAAGCTACTAGGGGCTCCTGGCATAGCTACTACTAGGAACAAGAAGCTACTAGGAGCTCCTGGCATCGCTACTAGGAACAAGAAGCTACTACAGCCATGGGGCCCCCTAGTTGGAGAACTTGTAAAGTGCCCTAACATATGTTAAAACATGGATTAACTGATGGTGTAAGCTGGTCTAAGTTTGTGAAGTGTTCTAAGTTCTTGGTGGTATTTACGTTGCAGTTACAAATTACTTTGGAAATATATGAGTAAGTTATCCTAGTTTATGTTGGAGGGTGCTAAATCACTTCCAACTTACTTAGGGAACTTAGGTTTTTGAGTTGAAAAAGCTATGTTTTTTGTGGACGGGTTTGCAGAGAAGCGTTTTTTCATGTGTTTGTGTAGTCTTCTGTTTTGCGTAGAACTGAGACTGATTAGCAAATCTTTGTATTTTGTGTTGTTTTGGAAACATTTTTTCTGTTTTTATGGGCGCGATTGTTTTTTCTGTTTCAGTCGTGAATAATTTGTGGGGTGGTGGTCCACCCGTACGACAGAGTAGTACTTTGCACACAGAAACACGTAAACATGCAACATGCACACGTAGTAGAATATAGTGTAACGAATCCATTATGTAGGCCCTGGAACAACTAGAAGCCATTAAGCTGGATCACGCCCCAAGTTTATCTCTGAGTGGCCATGGAACAACTAGAAGCCATGGTTCGCAAGGTGGCGGCAGAGTAAAGCCTTACAGCTTCGCAACAGGAGAACAGATTCGCTGGTGTTGACGAGCGCTGAGTAGATTCTCGCCTGTCCGTGACGCATCACAAGACGCGCACACACACAGTCCCTCAAAAGATCTGATGTAACCTCACGAACAAGAGGCTATATGTACAGTAGATGTACGGTAATGTACGGTAGATGTACGGTAGATCCACCGTACATCTACCGTACATCTACCGTACATTTACCGTACATTACCGTACATCTACTGTACATATAGCCTCTTGTTCATCAGGGCGCACCGCATTTTTGGAAGCCTGCGCGGGTTGGACGCACCTGTTCCCAAAACACGACTTCTTGCGCGCAGCGGCATCAAGAAAGCCGTGTGCGTTCTTCACATGGCTTGGTGGAGACAACCTACGTGGTGGACTCTTCAAGAGGGTGGTCGACTGCTATGCTTGCCCTAAAAACAGAAACGCTTCTTTTTTCATGTTCGTCGCGGTGGTCCGCAAGACAGTTGCTTCTTTATTTTGTTTTTCTGGTGTTGGTCTTTGTGGTTGCACAGCGTGTTCCTAACACACAGATGTAGGTCATTGCTTTGGCGTTCTGTTTTCTTATGCGTTTTGATGGTTTAAAGTAGAAAGTGTTTTTCTTTTAGCGCGGTGGTGGTCCGCCGAAAAAAAGCAAAACGCATTTTGTGTTTTGTTTTTGGCTTTTTGTTTTTCCTCGGCAAAGCGGCGCGGTGAGTGTTCTACATCAAAAAACCTGGCAACAGCAGCGCTTTCCCAGGTAAAAAACTTAGTTTTTCGATGTCCTTCGATTTGGGCCTTGCTACTGGGAAACTTGAAAAATCATATTTTTTGAGCATCAAAAATCACCAATTAGAACTTACAGAACTTAAAAACAGTTACATGTAAGTTACATCTTACTTACGAAGCCCTCCAGCTAACTTAGTTTTAAGTAGTTTGTAACTTCACCAAGTAAGATACAAGTGTTTTAACTAGGGGGGCCTGTGGCTGTACGGGCTCCTGGCATCGCTACGAGGAACAAGAAGCTACTGGGGGCTCCTGGCATCGCTACTAGGAACAAGAAGCTACGGAGAGGGCCGGCACTTCATGGGCTTGAAGGGGGCCTCGATGAGTACGCGCTCCTGACGTGCTCTTACTAAAGAACGCGCGCTTGTCGTCGTCGCTCATCTGGGGCAGGCTGCCCAAGTTGCGACGAACCAGCCTGTCCGTGGACTTGCAGTCCGCGCGCAGAAAACGCCGCCCATGTCCGCGACCAGCAACGTCTCGACCAGCAACGTCTGAGCGCTGGCACATGTTGCAAGTCGTGTGCATGGGGGTCGAATTTGCGTCCTGTGTCTCCTGCGTGGACGCGACCGCGAGCGTCCTCTACAAAAACCCCTCGGAGCCGAGAGAGCTGCGAAAAAGAATCTCCGAAACCAAGAAAAACTCGCAGAATGCCGCGGACATCGACCAATACTTAACTAGCTTGACGGCCAATTCTCGCGGACGTCTGGCGGACATCTGGCGGACATCGGTGGAATCCACAAAAACAACTCTTCACTCACAAGCCAAAACCAGGAAAACCGCAGACAGTTTCCTGACCAACTCTTCACCCACAGGCCAACATCAGGAAACCCGCGGTTTCCTGACCAGCTCTGGCTAACATCAAAACCCGCAGTTTCCCACCGAACCCAATTGAACGCAGTCCCAAATCAGGAAACCCGCAGTTTCCCACCCAATGCTCTTGACCCACAGGCCAACCTCAAAAAACCCGCAGTTTCCTGAACAGCTTTTCAAAGCCAAAATCAGGCAACCCGCAGTTTCGTGTCAAATGCTCTTGACCCACAGTCCGCCCTCAGGAAACCCGCAGCAACCTCAGGAAACCACGGCTTCCCCTGACCCAGAGGTCGGGATCAAGAAACCGGAGGCTAACAGGAGTCCGGCAGCCGCAGGTACCAGCGCGTACCCGTAGGTTCCGCGGTCTCCAATTGTTGCGGGAGAAACGAAGGAAATGCTTCGTATATCCCTGCTGGGCCCGACGGGTCTTCGTGCCCGCAGACATGGCGTCAGCATTTGCAGACATGCTATACGTGGGCTATATAGCTTGCTTGGAGACTCCCTGTGACGAACGTTCTGAGCCAAAATCTCACTGCAGCATGTGTCATTTGCAAAAACATGCTAATTATGTAAACAATCATTGTTTTTACAGGTTTCCTAACTACCGCCTAAGTACATCTAACTTCCGCGTAACTTTGGCGAAGCAGGTGCGCGGAAGTTGCATACCAGTTATACGCACAGCACGGAAGTTGCAGAAAATATACCTTAACAACTATCTTCCGCAACATAAGAGATAACTTAAGTTCAACTTCACACCTAACTTATAACGGCCCTCTCCGTACTAGGGGCTCCTGGCATCGCTACTAGGAACAAGAAGCTACTAGGG